TGCCGCCACTGCTGCCTGAAACACCTCCGACTGTCGTCGAAGATCGAACATCGTGTTAGGATTTACGTGACGGATTACTGTTTCATGGAGATTGATCGGTGCATCGATCACTGTTTTCTTGTAAATTCGTGCTAGAAATTTACTATATTCAGAGAAATTCTTTTATTCCATAGCCAAATGTTTAACTGACCACTAGAAATTTTGTGATCAAGGATCGTGTCAGGAGATTGTTCGGCGCACCGATCCACCATCGCTCTCTTCTGCAAACTTGACCCTTTAAGTGGGGATGACGAGTTAACTCGTCACGGGGCTGCGAAAATCACACACGTGAATCTAAACCTAAGGCATCGTTTGTTTTTCTGAGGCATAAAAAAAGTAGTGTCCTAATTAATTTCACGCGGCATGCACAGAAGACGTTTCTGGCAACTTAGCTCCCCAGTTGGCAGGTTAACAGTGACGCACATGTGTACCTTTAGTTTTTCCGAAAATTCCAGTATTTGTACTAGGAAAAATACGAAAAACACAATCTCCCACCAAGGGAAGCAGCTCAATTTCTATAAATTTAACACTGATATAAATGTAACTGCATAAAAAATTAGATCATTCCCTCTAACATAAAAAACATCCTCCCTAAAGAGATTGATTAAAAAATGTCGCATTATAAATCAACCGAGGACAAAAATGTCTCCGCGTTCTTATAGGCAAAGGCACTAAGGCTTCCACCATATGTGTCTGGTGTTCGTCTTCGAGTCAAGCACTACACAGAAGAAAAGGGGCGCATTCAAAAAGAGCGCAAACAGGCGTCCATGTCATAAACCCAATCCCTAACATAGTGTATTAACAGTTTACAAAGACTATTTCATTTCAATAACCCATTTCCAATAAAAAATAACGTCAACCACAGTCAAATATTGAATTAACAAATTGCAACAAATTGTCAATTTTGCTGGTTAATCGAATCCCTGCAACTCCCCCCCACCGGAAGAAGAAAGAAAAACAAGGTAAGATATTAGCAACGAGGGTCGAAGGGTTTATCGTTAGTATTCCGGTCCAGTAGCCGCAAGTAGAGCCGGCTGTAAGTGGTCAGCCGCTCGCGGCCGACCTTATGTCGCTCGCGCCACTAACGAGGCTAAGTGAACACAGGTCGCGTATAGTCAGACGCAGCTGCCGCTGCGTTGGATTCCTGGCTGCGCCACTGAATACCGCTCCACCTTCAACTTTATCATGCCTGTCGGTACTTACACTACCGCCGTGTAACTCTGCCCGCCTACCCGGAACTAAAGCAACTTCAACCACGGGCCACCTATTAATAAACACTTAACCAAACGACATATTTTAACCGGCCTCTAACAGAGGGGAACGTAGCTTTTCCTAGGCAAACTTCGCGTACTAATTTTACATTAATTCTCTACGATGGTGTTCGGAAAATACAGTCAGACGGTGTTACACGAACTCGCTAGAAGAATTGAAACGTGAATTTTTCAAGAAGTGGAATATTTTATTTTTCACTTTTTCCTAATTTTCTTTACTTAAGTTTGAGAAGAGTGTTGTATGTTTAGTGTAAGTCTCGGTTCGGCGGATTATAGTAACAAACAACTTAGTCACATTTGAGGTGCCGACGTTCGGAAGACCGCAATATACCCCCCGTGGACGCACCAGCGCGACACTCAGACAATAGGTCCCAAGAACACTCGGGACCATAAACATTCGTTACCGGGGATCGAATTTGTTTACAACAAATTTGGTCCCCCAATACGTCACAGTTTTCGTCGACCAAAAGCAGAACACACCACGTTTTCCACCTCTGTAACAGAACCACCAATCAGAACCAACCTAATGCCTATATCACACCTACACACCTGAAAACCGTGAATCACTGTAAGACGAGTGCACGAGACACATCGTCACGAAAAGAACAATCCAAATTCAACTAAACATCTACAACATCTAATCAAAATAAAAAACATCTAACCCAACAACGAAGTTTCAATACACCTCGAACCAGCGAGAACAATCATCAACCTGCGCCAGAACTCCTGGATCATGAGACTTGATCAAGGTCCACGACGCAACAGGGACGGTTTTAGAACAATCGTGGAACTATTTTGGAAGAGAACCGACCGAGGTTTCGCGTGAAATCCAAAAACGCTCAAGGTTTCGCTTAATCACCAGGTGGAAAATGAAGTTTGCGTGCGAGGAACGCGTAAGAATTAGTTTCATTCTACCGTAGCAGCTACGTTACTGCTACCACGTCCTTGTCAGGATGTGTCCAAGGTTTTGTCCTCTGTTTGCAATATTTTCTAGTCGAATGAAATTTTTCATATCCATCAACGTTCCATTTCGGTCGGACCGAACGAAATTCCAAGGGATCTTCCCGGTTTCGACGATTAATTTCGACGCGAACGGGGAGTGCAGTACGGAGCAGCGGTTCGAGAACAGAATTAATTCCTTCGTCCAGGAACGTGGTAGACGCGATGAAATTTAGATGCGCCAGAGCCTAGAGGCCAGATCCTTCTCTCGCCGCGGGAGACTCGGGAATAATTCATCGAGCATCGACGCTGCCCACCATGGGACCGATAACAGAGGAGATTAAGGGTAGGAACCGAAGAATACGATACGCTTGCGAACGCGTTCTGCGACGCAGGGAGGCTTGTTTCGTGGAGAATTCAAACTTTCCGGCGCTTCGAGGCTTACCTCGAGACAAAAGGGACCGTGGAAAATTCTCTGCGAGCTTGATGGACACCCTCGATGTTTAATCTCTCAGGCTGACCTCCCGTGAGCGTCTTTTCCTCGAGAATTCTCGTGCAACGCGAGCTTAGCAACCTCGCCGAATTTATTTTCCATTTTTCCATCTCGCGAAGGAAATTTCTACGACGCGAGAAAAATAAGACTCGTAAAAATCATAAATGAAATTCCTCTGCGATTTATTCCGTTGTTGAAATTTGTTTCTCGTTCATGTCGAATCCAGAGAATGTGTTTGTCTGATAATTGTTGTGCGAGAAATTTGTATAATTGAAAAAGAGAGAACTACTTTCGAAACAGGAGCAAAGAGCACTCGTCGTTCTTCGAAAATATAATCCCGTTGAATGTCCGCAGTCGATAACCAATAATTCCTGCCACACAAGTGGGGAATTCCAGAGAACAAAAGGAAAACAAGGGAAAACGATACTCGACGATGCAACTTGACGATTAATTGAAAAAATTCGTGACGAATGTGAGAGCGGGAGGAGGCAGAAGGGTTGTACACGAAATTCTCCGCAATTCTGGCGTACTTGGACTGCCGAGGCAGCAAACGAGGCCGATCACGTCGCGTTTCATCGAACAAAATTGCACCATTCTGCTTTTCTTTCTTTTTTTATCGCCTATCCTCCGTCGGACAATTTTACGAGCGTCCAATTAGGCGAAATTATTCCGATTCGACGAGCGACACTCTGGAATCGTGTCGCTGCCCACTGTACAACGTTCTGTTCCTTCTTCAAATTGATCGTTTCTTGAGAATACGCTTTTTTATCTGCTTCGTGTATCCATTTGCGAATCGGGTAACGTGATCTGCTTTAAATTATTCTCTTGGTGGATCGATCGAAATTTTTCTTCGGTTGCGTAATGTAGTTTAAAGGGACTCTTGCGATGTTCATAGTGTATTTTTTGTTAGCTTTTTCTTTTAACTTTCGAAGTCATCTTCAGTTTTTTAATAGATAAATCTGCAATTCTTTTACTCTCATATTTTAATAAATGAATAAATAAACGACTGCTTAAATTTCTCTATGATTAATTCGCGAAAGAGTGAAGATAATTTTGAAATTTTGGAAGAAAAGAAGTATCGTGAATAATCTTGAAATTTTGGAAGAAAAGAAATATAAATAAACGACTGCTTAACTTTTTCTATGATTTATTCGCAAAAGAGTGAAGATCATCTTGAAATTTTGGAAGAACAGAAATACTGCTGAAGAGTATACTATAGTCATCTCAAGGGCTTCTTCGAACAGTACAATGCAACGTAAAAAGAATTTCGATGGCAATGGAATTTCATTAGCAACAGAATAAATAAAGGCGATCACGGTTGAAGAATAGAATTTTTTCGTGGAAGAATATAAAATCGCGAGCGACGTCTGCAGGTTGCTAATGGAAAAGTAAGAATTCTAAGCTGAACCGAGACGTATTTCGTGGAGGAAACCGTAAGAAATTTCGGGACGCAACACCATTAACCCTGAAGGAAACGTTTGCAGAAGAAGGCTGCTCCTTTCTACTCTGACATGAATAATAGGGATTTCTCTCTTTTCTGGCGGGAATTTATCGTTCCTCTAAACTCCTGGTCATTTGTTTCCTCTTCAATCCCTTTAACGGACTAGCCGCAAAAAGAAACGGGACTGTGGAAGGTCTCGTGAAAACGCGACCCAACAACCAACCCTATTCGTCTTCTCTGCGTTGGGTACAACAACGAATTTCGTACTATATTTACCAACTACATCGTTCAACGTCTACGAATTTTCAAATAATAATTCTAATTTAATCTTTCCATTCTTCGATATTCGACTAAATCACCCGAGCAATCGGTCTGGAAATGATTAGAAACGCAAAGCTCTCTAGTTTAAAAAATGTAATTAAAATCGTAAGTTTGACAACAATATTAGTAGATGTAAACAAAGTTTGCGAATGATTAAAAATTTGAAATTTTGTATAAGGAGAATTATTCAACAAGTAGAGAGACAAAGAGCTCTGGTTTAAAAAATAGGATACTTTACACACCAGTCGTCAATTTAAAACAGCTTTGACAACTATTTCAGTATAATTAAAAAAATGAAGTAGTTAGACTTGGAGGTTTCAGATCTCACCCCGTCAAATTTCCTTTTACTTTACTCCCCCTCTGCGAAATCCAGCTTTGCATTAATAAAGTGAAAACCAACCCACAAAATTGGCTTCACCACCGAGAATTCTTC